AGGGATTGAACTCGGGACCTTGAGCTTGTGAGGCAGGCAGTGGAACCACTGAGCTAAATCACTGGCCCCAGTCTCAGCTTTTTAAAAAAATTAGATGTTATTATTTCAGAATCACTAATGAAGATATTTTATTCCTTTATAGGCATAATAATGGATCCTTGAATGTTGAAGATGTTCTTACCAGCTTTGACAATACAGGAAATGTTTGTAAGTTATATGCTACCTCTATAGAAATGTTTAATGTTTTAAAAAGCTAACTTAACTTTTTTTTCACAATGTTTATTATATTACTAATGTGTATATATGTTTATGCGCATATACATGTATACATAAAATAGAGAGTCGTCTTTTTCTCTTGCAAATTAAGCCTCATATAAAATGCATACTCAATGAGATATGGTAGTTTTTACATTGTGCAGGTGAGAGAGGGAGGAAGGTGTAGGAAGAGAGAGAAAAGAGAGAGGCATAGACACACACAGAATGTATGTCACAAGAACCACTGAACTCTCCAGTACTGTCCTTTTGGTTTCTTGTTTTCATTGTGATCTTCCAAGTTAATCCAACAGAAGATCTTATTTATTTCTTTACTGTGTTTTTGGTGCTTTCTATTCAACTCCATGCTGCTTTGCACTTTGACCAGAGATTAAATCCAGAACATGTTTTCCATGTTGTTCATATACTTTAATACCACAATATCTTTGTTTTGTGAAATATTATATTTCGTATAGATTTCAGAATATATTGACCTTTTATTTAAGCCTCTGATTAAATGGTGACACATTTCTTCACTGAGCAAATCACTTAAATAATTTAAAAATAATGTCATACTATGAAAAAAATCAGCCAAGAATATCTTTATGTCACTGAGTTTTAAAACATACCATAATGAGAGTTCTGTATTCTTTCTTGTTTGTTGTATAAGATATTTATCTTAAGATAGTGAATTATTAGTGAAATATGATTTTAAATGTAAAAGTAGTACTCATATTTTTTTCTCAAGTGAAACTTCCGAATTATAATTGTCTAAACATACTTTACTAACAGTACTGCTTTATCAGATACATAGATCTTTCATAGAATAAGGTCCAGTAATACTCAGACAATATTTTTTCTATTATGTCTACATTATGGAAAGCATTTCTTCCTTTCCTGCCCGGCCCCCCGCCCCACTTCTTTTAATGCTACTAGGGATTGAGCCCAGGGCCTAGTGCTGTACCACTGACTCACATTTTTTTGTAGAGAAAAGTTTTATTTTTGTCCCTAAAGAATCTATAAATATCCTAAAATTATTCTAAAGTATTTAAAATAAGGCAGGCTTCTCTTTCATGGGCAGTTACAGGTGTACATTTTAGTTTCTACACCTCAGCACTTAGCAAATTCTTTCTTATTTAGGCAGATGTTATATTTTCATTGGGACCTAAGCAAAGACTAGACAAGGACTAGCGACTAATGCTGGTTGAGGAGACAGTCCCATGCTGAGATAAGGCTAAATGTCATTAAGTTGTCCACATTCATACATAATTTAGAACATGATCCTGGAAGGGAAATGCAGAAGTTTTGATTCAGTAAGGTAAAACAAACAAACAAACATCAAGTATTGTTCCCTATGACTCAGTATGAAATAGAGCCACTAGCTGGCAGCATTATATAAAATAAAAAGAAGTTCCTAAAGGTCTAAACTGTTACTTTACAGATGAATAATCATCTTGTTCTTCTCTAACATTCTCCCCATCATCTTGTCCCTGTGGACTCGTAAGTTGTTGCAGTAATGAATGGAGAAATTGCATGAAATTGGTTAAGGATTTCTTTTGAGACTTTGGAATATGACCCACCTACATTTCATTCCTGGCTCTGAGCTTCATCTTGAGAAATTTATATAATCTCTGTGAGCATCAGTGTTTTTCATTTCTTTTGTTTTGTTTCTGGTACCAGGGATCAAACTTGGGTCCTCATGCTTGCGAGGCAGGTGGCGGAACCACTGAGCTAAATCCTCGGCCCTGTTTTTCATTTCTTAAGACTGGATATAATGTACAGAACCCACACACTGCATTGCTCTGAGTTGACACTTGGTAAATGGAAGCTGTTTATTAATTATTACTGATCATGAGTACCTGTTTTTATTTATCAATTAAAAATAAATTTCCATAAAAAATATTGTTATTTTTGATATTGTAAAATGAATAATTTTGATTGAACTAACAAGCCAGGAAAATTAGATAAAATTACTAAAGTAGTTTATTATAATTTAGGTCTTAAAAACATAAATATTTTGTCAAGTGTTAGAAGTGGTAACAAAAATAAGACCTATTAAAACATGTTTGGTATAGTTTTTATTTTAACCCTTTTTTTTTCTTGGTATTGGAGATTGTACCCAGGACATTGGCACTGAGCTAGTGGGTTTTCCTAAGTCTCACAGGCTGGGCTTGAGCTTGTGATCCTCCTGCCTCAGCCTCCCAGAGTGCTGGAATTAGAGGTAGGAACCAACCACCACACTGGTTTATATTTTCTATTTTAAAAAAATGTCTTGATGTTTTACTTAATAATAAGTTGGTTAAGTCCTGTTCCAATAAACTAACTTTGGTTATAATTTTTATATAATCTTGGGCATAAAGTAGCCATGGATCGAAAAAGTGATTTTTCACTTGATGCTTCAAGTTTTATTTGTTTTTACAGAAATTGTGGTTACTAGGTTGAGTTTTTGACTATAAACCCAGCAGAGGGCGCCACACTCATAATTCTGTCTCAACAGCGTCTAATTGGAATAAATAACGAATAGCTATAAGCTTTCACCATATAAAAACATAAACATGTATTTACAAGTTGCCATTTGATTTTTTATAATATACTTAATATATTCATCAATTTATTAGTATAAATATATTTTATGCCTGATTTTTTAGTTCAATTTGGTATTCTTTTTTGTTTTTGCTTTAAATGTCAGTTTAATTTTTGTATTTCTGGTTTTAAGTATAGGAATATCGTCTTTTAATCCTGATCGTGAAAGTTGTATACAAAAATATTGTTCCTAAATCACTATCGTGATAGTAAACTGAAGAATATTTAAAATGAAGAAAAAATGTTTCTAATAGTCTAAAATGAACAAAGGATAGAATTACCCTTTATTTCAGAAACTTGTTTCTAGGCTAATATTATTTTTTGGTAATAGAAAAATGTTAAAATATTTTAGAGCCCACAAAACCCTGATATGTGTTTATTATAAACAATATATTTGTGATTTAGTAGAACTATTAGTCTCAAATTATTTTTTTAGTACTGGGGATCAAACTCAGGACCTTGTACTTGCAAGGCAGGCGGCAGAACCACTGAGCTAAATCCCGGCCCTATTATTAATCTCAAATTTAAAAATCAAGTAGTGATTGTATTCATTGTAAATGTTCAAAGATAAAAGTATCAGCTTCACTTCCAAAATTTGTCATGCCCTGACCAAAATGTCATGGAAAAATTTCCTTAATTTTGGAAAGTAAATAAAACTTCAAGTTTTAAAAAATTTCCTGTTATGTTAGAAAAGAAAATATTCATTATATTTATTTTTATTGTGTAGATGTGTTGTTTTAAACATTTCACTTTAACAATGAATTGTATTTTTGTGATATCCTTTTACTGATTGAATTTTTGAATGTTTTAGGAAGAAATTAAAATGATTTTCATGCAGAATTAATTATTTCTGCATGATGACTTATTGCTATATAGTATATGACCCAACCTTATTTTTATATATTTATATTTGCTGTTATGGGAAACAGTTTTCCAAAGTCGTCTTCCTTTTTTGATTATCTTTAACTAGGGAAAAGTATGTTTATTTTGTTTTTGTTTTTGTTTTGCTTTCTAGTACTTAAGAGCCTTCTTCTTTCTACAATATCAAAGCTGGTTTGTGGAGAGTATAAGCCTGCTATTGATTTATCATGCCTTGAAAGGATGCATCTAGCTACCTAGGGAAAAGTACAGGATGACATCCTTCACCTCAAGCGAGGTGCTGGCTGCTTCAGTGTTGCCTTTGACATGTTGCTCAGATACCTTGGGTAACAAGAGTGCTGTAGTTATAAGCACTGCAGCGAATTTCTTGCTTCTGTTTTCTCTGTGTGTTTCCAGCCAGTCCCCCTGACCTCTAATCAGAATAGCTTCACCATGCTATGTCTCTTCCTCTCTTTCTCCAGAGTTGTCTCTTTCCTCAAGTGAAATGAGTTTTTAAAAATAAGATTCTTCTCAGGAATTAACGGATCCAAATCCAATATAATTATTTGGTATTTATACAATCTCATCTGTGTTTGTGGGTATAATATCTTCATTTGTACATTTTTAAAAGCACATCATCCTTTGTTTGATAGCATGAATGGTGAGCTAATACTTCCCATATAATTTATTGTATATGTATATACTTCTAAAAGATAGGAGGTCAATAGCTGTTTGTACTGTTGAATTAGGATTTCTGCTAATATTGTAGCTTAAATTTGGGGAATATATTGGTAAAACCTCTTTGCTATTCTTTCAGATTTTTTTTCTCCTGACTGGGCTACATGAAAAACACATTTGTAGACTCTCTCTGGCATATATACTCTTGTATGTGGCAACAGTGATTTTTTTTCCCAACGAATGCTAGGCCCTGCCTGGACTTTTAGTACAAGCTATAGTCATTGATTCTGGGCTTTTCTTAGTGGTCTGATAGTAGTACCTGTTTCGTGATATATCCAGAATAATCTCTTATGGGCTAGTAATCAATATTACTGAAAGATTCTTATTAAAATAAAACATATTTTCACTTTTTAATGTACATTTAAGAAACCAAAGGGTAAAATCTATTATGGAATATAGATAAAATTACCAGTTTTCCAAACTTTTGTTTTCTTTTTAAATTTCACTGCTATTGTGTAATGTCTATAATATTAGTGGAATTATCAAAGTTTCAAGAATGCCAGCTCAGATTTAGCAATATTTTCTTCGTTCATATAAATATATGTGAGTAGTTATGTAAAGCCTGTGTGTATATGGCAATATGCATATATGATACATTCACAATATATGTCTACACATGTACTTTATATACACATATATACTTTACATGTATGTACACATATATACATTATGGTAAAATAGTTTAATTAAAAAATGAGAAAATTTGGGGTTTTATGTATCATCTATTGCTCTATTTTTAAACAAGTGTCATGGAAAGAGCATGAGTCATAAAATTC